GCCCTGAGCTTAGAATGGAAAGGAGCAGGTTGCTCACCTCGGCACCTGGGTACCAGCTCAGCTGGGAGTTCTAGGGTTTCTGGCACCTTGCGCTGAGATTTATTAGTGATTTATTAATTTCTTTTGTTGGAGGGGAGGCAGAATTAGGAGAATGGGTTACGGGGGAAAAAAACCAAACACGCAAACCCAACCACCACCAGCCGTTTGTGCATCACCTGTGCTTGGGGATGAGATAGGAGGCAGGTGGAGGGGGAGGGCAAAAATTAACGCTGAAGCTTCTGCAGTGCTTTTCCCTTCTTCTGAAAGCTGGGAAAGCGGCTTGGGGGTTTAAAACCAAGCTCCACGCTTCAAACCCACCCCCTCCCCCAAAAAAAAAAACCACAACCCCCCCAGAATAACAGAAAAACCCACTTGGGTCATCCCGGTGTTACCGTAAAGTAAATCATTACTCATAATACAATATTAGAGCTCAAGAGGCAGCTCCTTTAGCTCAGCCAACAGCTAAACTGACAGCCTGCCAGTTGGAGAACTCTTCAATGGTGGCGCAGAGAATCCGCAAATGCAGAGCCGGGCTGGAGGAGGTGGCACTTTGCAGTCTGGCAAAAGATGGAAGTGGCTTTGGGCAGCTGGGTGGATCAATCCAGATGCTTTTCTCGAGCACGTGTTCTTAAAAAGTCGCTTGGGACGTTTATTTCCCTCGGCCGCTTTGGGGGAAAAAAATATAAAAAATAATAATTTAAAGCCCAATCCTATGAAGCTGCCACGTGTTGGCGCCCCATGGCTGTGGGTCAGGCACACGTGTCTGAGCCCCAGCGCAGAGCTTTGCTCATGCAGCCCGTGCCCGGCAAGGGCAGCTCGGAGGGAATGGCTCTCGGCAACAGGCTCAGCATCTGGGTTGCCACGGGGCTTTGCTTTTTGGCCGGGTTAAAATACCTCCTGGCGTAACGCTTTGCAGATGTAGCTGCTCGCTTTGATTTCTCTCACCTTGGAAAGAAGTCCCTCGCGTACGCGGTGTTTTGCCGCTTTTTGTTTAACTGGTTCCTCTGAGGAAAGAATTTTCCCTCCTTGGCAGAGCAGAAAACTAACATACTTTAATATATTAAGGCACCAAGGGGCTAATTAATGCCATAACGTGGCTTCTAATTATTTTCTCTCGGGGTGGGAACAAGCCCTTGGCTGTGCTCTACGGGAAGAGTGTTACTGGACTTTTTCTATATATAAATTTATATTAAGGAAAAAAAAAAAACAAACACCAACAAACCAAGGTGGCTCTTTTAAACTCGAGGTGCTGTTAATGCCTTGGCAGCAACAAAGCGCGGAGCCACGAAGCCCCGTGGGAATGGAGGTAGCGCAGGGTCCGCGGGGTGGGGGGAGGGAGCCGGGAGCATCCTCGGGAAGCTCCCGGCGTGCGAAAAGAATTAGCGCGATTGTCCGCGCCCTTGTCAACGGGGAAGGCTGGAATGGATGCAAAGTGATGCCTTCATCTGGCCTTTTGGAGGGCGATCCATGCCATCGCTGTCGGGCTGCACGTCTCTCACGTAGGGGCTGGGGAAAAGGAAAAGTCAAGTCGTCGCCGGCGGCTGGGGGGGCAGAGCCGGGCGAGGGGAGGGGGCTCGGCTGCGGGCTGCGAGGGGAGGAAAGGGGCTGCCGCTGCCTTTTTTTGCCTTTTTTTCCATCGCTCCGACGCGGCGAACGAGGGTACGTGAAAATATCGGGCAGCTCCACGCGTGTCCTCGGTGCGTCCGGGAAGGTGTCGTGGGGAGCCGCGATGGGGATAACGTGGAAAAGGGGAATGTGAGATTAATGTGTGGTGAGAGCTAGCGGGGAACACAGTAAAAATGCCTGAAATCGGATAGAAGGTGCAAGTGAGCTACTCTTCCTGATTAAATCTTTTGAAAGTCATCCCCGACCTTGACTTACCTGGATAGATAACAAGTAATGAATATGCATTGAAATTCCTGATAGCTTTCTAGCCCTGGTGAAAAGAAATGATGAATTGGGTCTTTGTGAAGCGCTGGGAGCAAAACACGGGTTCCTGTTACATCCCTCATGCAAAGTTGTCCCGGAGCCTTTTGTGGTTGAGCAGCGTTTGGGCTCAGGTTCCTGATAAAAAGGTGCATGTCTGATGCCCTAGTGTTTTGGGAAGTGCTTCCCACATCCGTTAACAGATGCTTTTTCACGGATCTTTCCTTTGGCAGCAAACTGAATTGAGGGGAGATTCCTTAAGTATAGGTGTACTTAAGTACAGGTGCTCCTCCAGCACCATTCGGAGGTGGCAGTGCCAGCTCTGGGATGTTCTCAGCTGTCTGGAGCCAAGAGGACATGAACAGTAGCTGGCATTGTCCCTGTCCTCTCAGCACAATTACTTTAATAGCCCCAAATCGTCTTTGCTCTGCTCTTTGAGCCTCTTTGTCCTCTGGCAGGGAGGGAAAGGTGGAGTTTCTTTATTCAACTGTTTTTCCTTACCCTCCCTCCCTTTATTTAATATGTGATGGCTTTTTGTAAGGAAGAAGGGACTTGCATCCATAGCTTGGTTGAGGATGTAAAATTGTGAGAGAGGAAAAAGAATATATACCTTTTTCCTGGGTATGTTGCACGGCTCCCTTGGTGTACCCCAGCATGCAAAATCAGCACTTGCTGCTGAAATCAATGGGAGCTGGGCCGGGCTTTTGAAACGCAGCATCAGGGATGCAGGTCACACAAAGGGAGGGAAAGTGAGGGCAGCTCCAGCCTGAGGAATGTGGAATGTTTAGAAAATAATAGGAAAATCTCAACTCTTGCCTTCTGAATCTGCTGTGGTGAGAGAAGTGGATGATGGATGTCTCTTCTCTCCTCTTCTGGGTACCAGCACCTTAAACTCTTTCTTGTGGCCTTAATTCAGTTTCTTTACCTATTAGATTTTTTTTTTTCCTTAGAAAGTGAGGGAAATCCCACGTGGTGCTTTGCATGCTTTCTGGATACCTCTCCATTTGTTTGCCCTTCCCAGATACCCCCTGAGTAAATTCTACCCCAACCCACTGTCTCCATCCTGGATGGGCAGGCAGAGCTCTCTCCACCCAGACCGTAATTAAGCTGCCTTTTATTTATTTATTTATTTTTTTTATGGCTCTGCCACCAGCCGCTCACTCCCTGCATTCCTTTCCTGTGAGGTCTCTGGCCTCCTTGGGTGGATTGAAGGGTGAGTGAGAAATCCCCCGGAGGGTCTTGCCTATCGGGGCTCTTGGTGTGTCAGGCATGAAAGGCGGCTGGCTAATCCAAATTCCATTAGGCATCGTTAAGATCTTCCTTTCCCCCGTATTTAAAGCATTTGGCTTTGTGCCTTAGCCTTTCATGTCTGCAGCACCCCGTGAGAAGTAAGTTCTGCAGGGCAAACCTGGAGAGTAACAGGGATGCTGCTGCTATGGGAGCGGGGATGCTCTCTCCTTACATGGTCCATGGGCTAGTGGTCCAGATAGTCCAGACTGGAAGAGCTAAAAGAATACCCCAACTGCATTCTTATTTCTGCAACCTCAGCAATTTCCTGCAAATGGAACCAGGAACTTATTTTCTGAAGTATTTGTGCAGGGAGAAGCTATTTCACCTGGGAAGCCTGGCAGCTGATTTGTCTGCGTTTTGGCTGTGCCGTTTGGGTGAGTTGGAGAGGATTTTCTCTTCACTTGCCAAGTCATCACTAAGTGATGCCTCTGGATTTATTTCCAGCTGTTTGACAGATGGAAAGAAAAAAAAAACAGCTGAAAACTGTTTATGAAAAAGGAGTAAGTCACTTAAATATCTGCTTTTAAACGCCAGTGGTTTTTTAGTCCTCATTGTTCTGCTTGTCTTCAGAAAAAACCAGTTCATTGCATTTCCGTGTGTATCAGCTAAAAGCTATTTTTTTGGAAGGTGCTCTCCGTGGGTGAGATGTGGGTGAAGATCTCGGTGCAGACCTGGTGTCCTGGCACAGCAGTCATGTCTGCTGTGAGGGCTGGACCAAAATCCTTGGCTGTTTTCTAGCTTTTCACAGAATTAGCCAAACCATAGGAACAGGAGGTGGTGTTTCCTTTGATTTCTGTTTTTTCTTGCAAATGGGGAAACTGAGGCATGAAGGTTCTGCAGGGAGCCCAGGGCAACTACTAAGTCCTTGCCTGCTTTGCAACCATCAGGATGTTCTCCTTGCCATGCCTGTCAGCTGGTGACTCCTGTTCCCTGGTTTGGGTGGCACCAGGGGGAATCTGGGTCAGTGTGACTTAGCTGGGGCAGTTGTGTCTCAGTGGTGGGCAGCCATGGAGACGTCCACCATGCCCCACATGCTCATTCGGCAAATCCCCTTGCAAAAATGAGCCAGTGGATTCTCCTGCTCCTATGCTCATGAGAGAAGTTACTGCAGAGGTGATGGTGCACGAGAAGCAGAGGCTTTGGGTTTCCTCTAGCTGCCTGGGGGAAAGCTGGGCTCAAGTGCCGTGTAGGGCTGATACAAAATGAGCTGGAAGATTAATGGCTGCTTGTGTTCTTCTCGTAGCCTGTGGGCCGCAGCTTGCCAATTCCCCGACTGTGATAGTGATGGTTGGCCTCCCTGCCCGTGGGAAGACCTACATCTCCAAGAAGCTGACTCGCTACCTCAACTGGATTGGTGTCCCGACAAAAGGTGAGGCTTTCACTGGCTGCCAGGGTAAAACATGAGGTCTGGTCCTCAGGAATTGTTCTAGGAGCTCAGTGCCTTGGGTAGTGGGAGGTGGTGGGATCCCATCGGCCAAATATCCACGTCCTCCCGTTGCTTCTGCTGCAGCCCAAGTTCTCCTTCCCTTTGAAGACCAAGGGATGTCCCTCAGCCTCTTGCTCTAGGGATGTCACTTCTCAGCCTGTAGCTAGAAAGCATTATCCGTAGAAGCTGCACAACTGAGTTGAGCTGGGCTGATGCCTGTGTCTGGTTTTGATCGTCTTTGGCTTTATCCACAGTTTTCAACGTGGGGGAGTATCGCCGCGAGGCGGTGAAGCATTACAGCTCCTACGACTTCTTCCGCCCCGACAATGAGGAGGCCATGAAAGTCAGGAGGTAAATATGGGCACCATGTCCATGCTCGGGCCTGGATCCCAAGTGGGTATTGAAGCCCCTGGCTGGCAGCATGGTTACCCAGCTTGTTTGGGGCGGGGAGGAAAGGAAAAGCTGGGCTCTAGCTTGAGTTTTCCCTGCCTGCCCAACGAAGGTCTGAGCTGAGTGCTGAGAGCTGAAAACTGAAGCTGTATGGGCTTGGTAGCTTCAGGGTCACCCACCTCCGTCAGTGGTATCCTAAATTTGCCTTCAGGCTCGATGATGTAGTGTGTGAGGTCTGCTGTCGGGTTTGATGAGGGGCAATGGCTTTAAGCTGCAGCAGGGTAGAAGAAGAAGGAAGATGTTCTTTAGTGTGAGGGTGGTGAGACACTGGAAAAGGTTGCCCAGGGAAGTTGGGGCTGCCTCCTCCCTGGAAGTGTTCAAGGCCAGGATGGAAGAGATTTTGAGCAAGCTGATCTACCGGGAGGTGTCCGTGCCCATGGCAGGGGGATTGGAACAAGGTGATCTTTATGGTCCCTTCCAAACCGTCCTATGATTTTTCATCTACCGTTGCCTCTGCTTGGTACATGTGGCTCTTGTATTTTTGGCAGACTGAGGGTGTCTTTCCTAAATCTCCCTGGGAGGGGAGGGAGGTGGTGAGGAGGAGCCACAAAGCCTGCCTACCTTTGTGGAGGTCTGTGCCTTGGCTGCCAGAAGCATCTCTTGAGGACATCAGGACCACGTATGTCTCTCTTCTTTTGCAGGCAATGTGCCCTGGCTGCCTTGAGGGATGTCAAGCTGTACCTGACAGAAGAGGCTGGCCAGATTGCGGTAAGCTTGGAGATGTGCTTCATGGGGTTTGGCAGCAGCTGTTGTCCTGAAGGCGCTGTGCCCTGTTCACTCTGTAGTTTCTTCTCTGAGAAAGGGCTCAGTATTAAACTGGGCACTCTCGCTGCTAATGGAAACCTTTGCTTTTAAAGGTTTTTGATGCCACCAATACTACGAGGGAAAGGAGAGGGATGATCCTAAACTTTGCCAAAGAGAATGGGTTCAAGGTTGGTACCATTGAGTTGTTGCCTGTATTGCACCATCCATGTTGGAGTGCTGTCGGTGTGTCTTCTTTCACTAATGTATTGTTCTCACGGTGCTCCTGTGTAAGGGAGATTTTACTGCTGGGTTTGGTTAAAACCAAGAAACTCTTCCTTTGTTCCCATTACTGAGACCTGGAGGAGGAAAGGATGGGAGTGGGGCAGAGGAAGAACTCTCTTGTGGAGCAGGGAGGAAATTAGGTTGAGGGAGTCGCTGCCTGAATGTTGCAGACCTGGCTTTCAGATGAGCTTTTTTTTTTGCTTCACAGGTGTTCTTCATTGAATCTGTCTGCAATGACCCCACAGTAGTTGCTACCAATGTTATGGTAAGCATGGAAGTGTCTTGCTTTTGTTTTCCCTTGTGTAGGGGTTTCCCACCTGCACCCAGCCAGTTTCTTACTTGAACATCTTGCCAGAGGATTAGGAGGCTTTTATTTTTTTATAATCTATTTGTCCTGTGATGAGAAAGGTCCTGGGAGACAAAAGCTCCTAGAACCACCTGGAAGTAATGGAAATAAAAGTTGTGGTAGCGTTTCCCTGGTTCCCTTCCACTCTCTCTGCCTTTCTGGTGATGTCTAGCCTCATACCAAGGAGGCAGATGTATTCAGGATGCTTTGGTGACCCCTGTCCTCCAAAGTCCTAATTCTTGGGAGTGATGGGTGTGATTGGGGGTTTAAATCTCACTGGAGAGCAGTCAGGCATGGTGTTTTCAGCCACATACAGCTTCCCAAAATCTACTGGGATCTGCTTTGAGAGGAATAGCAGCTCAGCTTAGAGGTTTGTTGCCACTAGCTGAAGTCTTGGCTGGGAGAACAACATAAAACATTGCTTCCTGGCTCCTTTGGGAAATTCTGAATATTGTATTTCTGACCAGCAGAAGAACTTCTGCCTGTTAGGCTTGGCTAGGACAGGCAGATGTTAACTGATCTGCCTAGGCATGATAAACCCGAGTGGGTGTCTGTTCCTTCACTGGGCTCTGCTTCAGCCTTATCTCCAGTTGTACATCTAAACTTAGCGAACAATTTTATGTCTGAGAATGTGTCACAGGGTACCCAAAGTCTGCAAGAAGGGTTTTATTCTGCCCCTGGGGCGGGCTCCCAAAGGGTGCTGGGGTAAGGTCTAGAGTGTGACTTTTGCTTCTGTTGTCCCAAGGCCAGTGACCACATTTCTGCAAGGTCGCACACAGCCATAACGCTAACAAAATAGTCAGTTTGCTCTACTTTTGATTTTCCCCCCACATCGTGAAGCTGGGGTTTTTTGGAGGTTTTAATCTCTTACTTTTGGAAACTCATGCTTGAAGGGGGAGAGCACGAGCTACTAGCTGAGCATAGGTTTGTTTGTTGTTTTGTTTTGCACCTCGAGGTGTTGCAGATCAATGGTGCTCTTAGTGCTGGGATCAGCGTGGAAAATAGCCCGTGAGCATGGGATGCTGTGGCACACGTCGCTTGGTTGTGTTATCCCATTGGTTTTGGGATTGCTTCTCAAGTTACTCATGTGTAACATTGTTTCTGAAACCCAAATCTTCAGGAAAAATAGCCTGGTTGAGTAGTTCAGGGAGAACTTAGTCCATGAGTGCTCTGGATATCCACATTGCCCTTCCCTAGCATCTTTCAGCCCAGTAGCTTGAAGCAAATAATGCACAGAAAGGGGCTGAATGTTGTTATCCTGCTCCCTGAGGTGGTGGACAGCCAAGTTGACCTCTATCTCTTGGGAGCTTTATTCTCTCAAAAGGCCTAGGACAAGCATCTTGTCAGCTTGAACCACTTAAACCTGATGCTCTTCTTTAGCCATTAAGAAAGAGCAATTTTAGAATCGGAACGGTTTGGGTTGGAAGGCACCTTAAGGATCACCTAGTTCCAACCCCCCCTTGGCATGGGCAGGGATGTGCATAGTGTTGAGTGGTGAAGTTCTACCCCAGCGGGGCAGGAGAGCAGACTGGTATGCATCTGTTGTGGTCAAGAAATCTGGTTCGTATCAGATTTTCCCACCTTGTGCTTAGTTTTTGGGTCTATTTGCTGCCTTTCTGTATTCTCGTAAGTGATGGCTGTAAAGCGACTCAGCCGATAGCTGGGTCTTGGCGTGACTTTGAAATTTGAAATTAGCATGGTCTGGCTTAGAAAGCTTCTCAACCTCTCCTTGTGGCGTGTTTTCCCTGTTGCAGGAAGTAAAATTGTCCAGCCCTGATTACCGGGACTGTAATTCAACCGATGCCATGGAGGACTTCATGAAGAGGATCAACTGTTACCAAGCCAGCTACCAGCCACTCGACCCGGATGACTATGACCGGTAACAGATTTTGCTCATTGCTGAATTGGCTTTAATGTCTTTCTACTCCCAGGAGAGGAGTGTGGAGCTGTATTTCACTTTTGTCTTCTAATATGTGACTGTGCTAGAATAATGTATGGCCAAGCCTCATCGTGAGTTCAGCTTCTTCCTTAAAAATGCTGGTTTTCCCCAACCCTGTGCTGGGTAGCCCGGCACTGAAACCTCCCCAGGCTCATCTGGGCTCAGATATGATGGGTTTGGAGGTCTAAATACAGTTTTTTGGAAAAGCAGTTTGGTTTGAGTGTTTTTGAGATGCTTTTTTCAGTTAAAGGAAGGGTCTGCTTAAACAGGCTCGGACCACAAGGTTGAGCAAGCCCTGTGGTTTCCACCTAGCTGTGTGCCCTGAGAAGACCTTTGCTGTCCTGCAAGACCATGCAAGCACCTCCCAGCCTTTCCATTGCTCACAAACACGTCTGCGTGCCCTGCATGGATAATCCTGGTCCTGCTGAGCCCTTTCCTGGGGAGGAACATGCTCCCTGCTCGTCTTGCTTTAATCCTCTTACTGCTGTGAGGAAGAATGGAGATTACACTGGTGTTACTTAGCTCTGCATGAATCGCCAACGTTACCTGTTGGCTTCTTGTTGAAAATAGCCTGCAGCAAATCCTTTTAGCTGGGTGATTATGTTGACTGAGATACCTCACAAGGCAGTGGTTTGTGGCTTTTTTTTAAATTTTATTTCCTGCTTCTTTCTTTGCTGATGACCCCTCTTCATCCTTGCTGTGCCTTTCCTAGGGAGCTTTCTCTTATCAAAGTCATCGATGTTGGCCGGCGGTTCCTGGTCAACAGGGTTCAGGATCACATCCAGAGCAGGATTGTTTACTACCTGATGAACATCCATGTCCAGCCCCGCACCATTTATCTCTGTCGGCACGGCGAGAGCGAGTTCAACCTCAAAGGGAAGATTGGAGGTGACTCGGGCCTCTCCAACAGGGGCAAGAAGGTAAGGGAGAAGGGAATATTCCTCTGTGGCTTCTAGGAAAGGTTTGGCTGTAGTAGATACCATGCATTGAGTTAAGTGAGTACTTGATGACATCTGGGGTGCTCAGAGGGTCCATCTGTAGGGCTGGTTGATTTGGGCTTTGACATGGTCTCAAAGCAAGACTTTGCAGCCATTCATGTTGCATGTAGGCTTGCATGTCATTAGGGGTTAAAAGCGGTTGGAGTGCAGAAGTCGCTAGGAGAGAAGGGTATGAGTACCTTCAGCACGTTGGTTCAGACCTTGCATGGGCAGGGTGGATGCAGAAGGACTACTGCCACCCTTCGGTAGAGATAGCCAACTCTGAGGGCGCTTTCAGATTGCGCACTACTTGATTTTTCAAAGACATGGTCAAATATGGTGCCTCAGCGAGATTTAGTATCTATTTAGGTTTGCCAGATTATTCTGAAGTGCAAGTGGAGTCGTTTTGAGGTGTGACTGTTATCAAGGGCTACAGAATACATTGATTTTCCTCTATGACAAGTAAATAAAGCCGTGGTTAAGGGTGGCCAGGGATCTTCCATAGCTTTATGGGAGAACCTAGGTTGTGGCGCTGTTTCTTGGATGCTGCTCATGTTCCCTGATGACATATGGTTGCTGTTTTCTCTCTGTTGTCATGTCCCTCATAGCTATTGGGGGTCAGTGCATGTGTGGCTGCTCTTGACCTCAGAGCAGAAGGCTAATATATTTGCCTATGGAAGGCAAAAGAGGTCCTGGAGAAAGCAACATTTACTGGGAATTGGGGAAGAAGACCCATTGGGAAGCTGTGGATCAGGATTCAACCTCTTTCATGTCTCGCAGTTTGCACTGGCACTGAACAAGTTTGTTGAGGAGCAGAACCTGAAGGACCTCAAAGTTTGGACCAGCCAACTAAAGAGGACAATCCAAACGGCAGAAGCTCTCCAACTGCCCTACGAGCAGTGGAAGGCACTCAATGAAATCGATGCTGTGAGTATCCTTGGTTGTAGTAGGAACAGGTGGATCATGCTGTTTGCTGCTTGATGGAGAGGGTGATGGCACCAGCCTCTTCACCTTTGCCTGAATGTCACCCTTTGTGGGAAGTTTTTTCCTTCTTTTGGAAAGGGTACTTGTTCTGTTGCAGTACTTACAACTCAGCTTCTGATCTTAGCTCTGCCTTGTGCAGGTGCTTCAAGTGAGTGGCTTGAGTGAGTAGCTTAAAACCAATTTTATTTGGAAATGCACTGTAGCTGATCACTCGGAGGGTTACAGACAATTGCTTTGGAGAAAGTTTTGCATGTTGGGTGTGCTGATGCTTTTTAAGCATGTCTGGTAAACTCACGGATGTCCTGTTCTGGCAGGGTGTGTGTGAAGATATGACATATGAAGAAATCAGGGAGCAGCATCCAGAGGAATTTGCTTTACGTGATCAGGATAAATATTACTACCGCTATCCTTCTGGGGAGGTAGGTCTGCACGGAGACCTCGAGATGTGACTCTTGAAATGCAGTTTTCTTGTCTTCATGTTGTCCTCTACAGTCAGAGCAGGGGAGCAGCAAGACCTCCAAGAAACTGGAATCAAGAAAGATCAGAACTCCTATTAACCTTTTTCACTGAGATCTTGTGAAATCTTGATATGTGAAGATATTGTTTTGTATCACTTAACAAATATGGGACTTGGTAGTAGATTAGTAGGAAGGGGACTCTGGAGATTTCCTCCATTACATCCACTTAAAGGGTTTTACTGCCCCAATTCCCTTTTCATTTCCAAAGAAATAATCTCTGCTTCTTGGGTTCAGGTTGATATCTCCTGGCACAGGGAACATGATCTGCTTTTGAGGTGTGCCACGCTGAGGTGGGAACAGACAGCAGCTCTGGCTGGTACTTTAGGTTGTGAATTGGGCATTTTATCCCCAAATTACAAGTTGTGACCATAGACATTTTGGGAAAATAAATCTTTGGAGACATCCAAATGACAGCGTGTCTAATGTGACTTCTGTCTCAGTCCTACCAAGATCTGGTGCAGCGCCTGGAGCCCGTCATCATGGAGCTGGAGAGACAAGAGAACGTCCTTGTGATCTGTCACCAGGCCGTCATGCGCTGTCTCCTGGCGTACTTTCTGGACAAGAGTGCAGGTGAGCTCCCTGTCCCTGGGAAGAGGATTGATCCTGCTGGAGAAGGGATGACAGGCAGAGCTCTGAGGAGCTGAGGGATGTGTTCAGGTCCATGGAGGGTATAGAGCATGCATCTCTGGTGTGGGATGGCCTTAGCTGTTGTAGAAGATGTCTAAGCCCGCTTTTGGAGAGGCGATGGGATAACCCTCCTGCTTTGCCTTCTTCGCAGATGAAATGCCCTACCTGAAGTGTCCCCTTCACACAGTGTTGAAGCTGACCCCCGTGGCCTATGGTAAGTGGAGTCTTTCTACTAAATGTGCCAAGTGGCTTGACTTGTACGTCCTCCTGAATCCAAGCTGCCTCTAGGGGAAGAGCAGGGCTTTGGGGCAGCATCCCTGTGCCCACCGGGTTTGCTGATGGCCTCTCGTCTCCTTGTGCTTCCTTCTGCAGGCTGCCGGGTGGAGTCCATCTCGCTGAACATTGAAGCCGTCAACACCCACAGGGAACGGCCAGAGGTGAGTGTTACTTTTCCTCAGAGCCATCCCTTGATGTCCCTCTCCTTTCCCCTACGGTCAGCCAGCGGCGAGGGTGCCTGGGGTGGGCATGGGGAGGTTGCTCAGCTAGATGCTCGGAAGTGCTGCTGGAGCATCAGATGGGTTCTTGCTCTGCAAAGGTGTGGCCAGTCAAGGGTTTTCCATGGGAAAAGGACTGCTTCCCAGTGTGTTTGCCCACACTAAAGCTGGTCCAGGGAAAGCTCCTCCCTGGTCTTTGACTTTCACTTGCCTGATTGGCAAACGGAGCCGCAGAGGGAGAAGGTGACTTCTCCCAGGTCTCCCAACTTTCTGGCAGAACCCAGGCTCGACACTTTGCCCAGCATCTCCTGTCTTTGTGGGTTGTTTGTTTGGCATGCCCACAACTCCATGAGGCTACCGGAGTGCCATTCTATTTGGTGGGGGCAGAAGGTGGTGTTGGGCTGGGGATGCTGAGGGGAGGAGACCCCTCCTGTGGAAGAAAACTCCTGTAAGGTCAGGTCCATCTGCCGTGTGCTCCACTGGGAGCTCGTTGGCCAGAGCAGGAGGATGCCAACTCGCTGCTGGGACTGGGCGACCACTCAAAGGGGACCCCAGGGACCCCGGCTGTGCCCATGTCCCACTGCCAGGACCTTTCCGATTTGTGCTCTAGTGGTGGTGGAGCCCAATTGAATGTTGGATGGTCAGAACCATCACCTTTTGGCCCACAGCTCCTTTCTTTTGCTTCCCAAAGGTGACATCTGAGCCACCTCTCCCTCCCTGTGGTCATTAGGGTGGGGGGAAGCACATCCTTCCCTGCTCCCACCCTGCCATGGTGGCCATCGCTGGCCTCCTTCACCCCACTCGCTGCAGGTGGGACAGGGTGAGATTCGTGTGAAACGCTTGGGTCCCTCCGCTCGGCTGCGCAGGTGCTGCCCCTGCACCCCACCTCGCGTGAGCTGGGAGCTCGGCCGTGGTGCTGCCCCTCGCTGACTGCTCAGCCCCAGCTTCCCAAATCTTCCTCGTCAGCCCCCACTGGCTCCTCTTCCCTCTTCTTGCTTTCACACCCCTGCCTTGGGTCAGAGGGGCTGGCTTTGAGGGGAAGACTGATGAGCACCTCTCTTTGTCCTGTGAAGTCATGGGCTTTTGGCTCCTACTAGTTTGTTGTTTGGGTTTTGTTGGTTTTTAGCCATCTTATATTTACTTTTTTTGAGAGCAGAGGCTCAGGTGAGGAGAAAGTCTCTCGTTTCCAAGTGCAGGACCTTTGATTTTTTTATTGTTTTCCTTTGTTTCTTGGGAAACCATGCTGCATTCTTAAATGTTTTACATAAGGGTGGGGGTTTTTTTGGTGTCCTGAGCCTTCCAGTGCATCCTTTGCATGTTGACAGCAATTGTGGGGAAAAGCAGAGGCCGCTTTAAAATAAAACAACCAAAACAACCTGCTGCTTTTTTTTTATTTTTCCCTTTATAACTGTCGCCTTCTTCCCTTTTTTATTTTATTTTTTTATTTACCTTTTTTTTTTCTTTTTTCTTTGTCTCACTTTTAATTTAGGAAGCAAAGAAGGGACCTAACCCACTCATGAGACGTAATAGCGTTACCCCTCTAGCAAGCCCAGAGCCCACCAAAAAACCTCGCATCAACAGCTTTGAGGAGCATGTGGCTGTTTCTTCCGCCCTGCCAGGCTGTGTTCCTCAGGAAGTGCCCACGCAGCTGCCGGGACAAGTTAGTTGAACTCTTCTTTTTTTTCTTTTTTTCCTTTATTTCTTTTTTTTTTCTTTTTGTTTTTGTTTTTTTTGTTTTGTTGTTATTCCTGTTGTTTTATTGTTGTCCTGTCGCTCCTGAAGCTGGAGAACAGCTTGCGCTTGTCACAACCTGTGCTTGGAGTTGCATCTTTCTCTCATGGCTGCTTGTTCCTCCCTGCCTGGGGTTGGTTTCGGGAGCACCCAGCAAAGGGTTGCTGTCCTCTCTTGGGTTTTGAGAGCCTCATAAACCTCTCCAAAGCTCTAGGCTGCCTTCACCATCTGGCATCGTGTTGTGGACCCTCCTGAGGAGCCACATCTATAGGGCAGGCGGGACCAGGGGGCTCATGCCTTCCCCTTGGATGCATTTGGCTCCATGTTGTGATAAAGCAAATGTTTTTGGTCTTGCCTCAAGAAGGAGATGCCAAGACTCATCTTTGGCTGGAGAGGTCTCCTCCTTCTTGGAGCAATAGGCAAAATGGACCAAAAATGCATAGAAGCCTCTTGGCATGGTGAACCCGGTTGCCTTCTGCAGCCCTGGGTGGAACCCCATGGGTACCTGCTGTGATGCTCATGTGTCCTCTTTCACATGGCTGTGAAGGGGTGTAGAAAGAGACATTTTGCTTGCTGCACATTTCTCCAGGAACAAACTCCACCTCTCTCTGCTCATTAAAGATCTGAGATGGTACTGGAGAAGCAGCCTATATAAATATATATATATATATAAAGATTGTATATGAGCCCCTTCGCCATGCTGCCCTTCCCACCAGCTGCCTGTTGGATCTCGCAGTCTCACCCAGCTCCTCTTTGTGTTTTCTGTGTTGTCTGATGTCGTCTCCTCAGCCAGGTCCTGGGCAGGTTAGGAAGGATGCTGTGCCTCCTCCTACCTCCTTGGTGCCCGCTTTGCATGAGCCTTCCCATCCTAGCAAGTGCCGAGTTGGAGCATCTCGGTCTGTCAGGGCTTGGCTTGGGCTGGTTGATTCTTGGCAATAAAAACCTGGCTTTGGGTTTGGAAGCTCTTGCTGTTTGGGTGCCCCTCGCTGCCGTCAGGCGTCTCCTGCCTGGTCTCACGCGGTGTTACTGACACCTCTCTCTCCATTCTCTCTGTCTCTCTGCAGCCTTTACTAGGGAAGGCATGCCTGTAAGTACCTTCTTGCGTCTTATTTTCCCCCTTTCACCCTCCTTGCCATGTCTCTGGCCATCCCACCGGTTGTTTTGTTGTTGTTGTGAAACCCCGGCCGGGATGTGGACTTCCTGAAGTTAATATTTCTCTGTGTGGGGCGGGGGCATTTGTATATGTTTTAGGAAAGGTAAAGAGGAGGCTATGGATGCTGCTTTGTCTCACCCCTAAGTATCCTGGCTTGGTTAAATGTCCCAATTTTGGTGAGAAATGAAGCAAGCTATCACTTGCCCTCTGTTAATGATGTCTAAATTCCCTGCCTCCTCCTTGGATGGTCATGGGATGGGAGATGCTGTTGTTTTTTCCTGGAATTCTCTCCTCTGCGATAGCACGTTGTACTGTAGGTGATGGACCTGGGTGGTCTCTCCTTCCTGAGGGTTCCAAGCTGTGTCTGGGAGTGATGGCACCACAGTGAGATCTGAGAAGGTTCTGCCCTCGGTCGCCAACAGGGTTTTGTCACCTGCACTGGAGCAGGAGTGTGTTTTCTGGAGCTGGACTGATCATGGCATGTGTAATTCTGTAAACCTGGATTTTGGGAATGGTCTGCCTATAAATGCAAGGATATTGTCCTCCTCTACCTTTATTAAGAAAAGGTGTCTTGAGCATTTAATGCACGAATTATGAATAATTAAGGCTTTGATTGTTTGGCTCAGTGCTTTTAGATCCTTGTGTAATAGGGACAGGACAGCTTCTGGGTAAATTTGAAGACTTTGGACTTAAATTTGTGCTACTTCAGAACTGAGAGCAGCATTGAATTGTGCTTAAATGTCTTTATCAAAGACTTTGGGGCTGAGCTGAGGCTGGGGCAGTGCTGAGGGGGCTTTTTGCCCTCGACAGAGCAGTTTGCATTGGGCTGTGTGCATCCATGTCCTGGTTCATTTTGTGGGCTGTGAAGATGGAGGGATTTGCTGTAAAGACCCGGCCAGAACTCAGCCTTGCTTGCACGTCACAGCTGGTGAACCTCGCGTTTCTTCCCCTTCTAGAGTAAACGCTTTTGGGAAAAGTGAAGTTAGGAAGGTCAGACTTGGCCTTGCTGGCTGCTGAGTTGGGGAAGATCATCTCGCTCGTGCTCCCGGCCACACATAGAGGTTGAGTTGCTCGGCATGGCCTGCATGTCTGTTTTTTCCCTTGCTGCTCATGGGCACAAAAGCCCCTGGTGAAGCGCCTGGTCTTCTCAGGTTGCTTTGAAAGCATTTTGGTTCTTTGTCAGTCCCTCCATCCACCTTTTTCCCCCATCCATGTTTGTAATAAAAGGCACTGCATGCCTCAGTGCCGGCTGGGCCACTGAAAATCCTCTCGGAAGTTGAGTTTGGGAGATGGCTGCAGCAGGTATTCCTAGACCAGAAGCTCTGCTGAAGCAGGTTAAAAATCTCCAGCTGCTGGGAACCTGCCTCCACCTAGGAGTGTGGGACTGAAAACCTTCTTTTGAGGGAGCCTTGAAGACACCCCGAACTAAAGGCTTGGTGGCACTCACACTGCTGTTGCCTCTCTTGGAGGCAGTTGTGTTGTACGTGCGTGCGTCTGGTCCCTCACAATGTCCCATCACCACCGGTATGGGGTTGGGGGAGATGGAAGATACCTCCTTCCCAATTTGCACTGTGGGATTTGGTTGCTGGTGGGCACTTCATTGCATCAGCCCTCACTGTTGGGGTCTTGACCCACATCCAGGAGGACCAGGAGATAACTGGGGATGTCACTGTGTACCTCAGAGTCCTCCTGGCTGTGGGATCAAGCTGGTCTGGGGTTGTGGGACTACTTGGTGTGATGATTTCTTTTCCTTTCGCTTGGTTTGTGATCCAAAGTGCACTTTTTAACAACGACCTGATCCCCTCCCTTCTTCTCCCCTTCACTTTTCATGCTTAAAGACGGCCCGTTTGTCACTTTCTCAAAGTTTTCTCTTTACTAATATTTCCAAGGTAAAAATGGCTGTGGTGCATGTGGCTTTTCCTAACCCTCCTCCTGTCTCCCTTAGATAACAGAGAGAACAGCTCAGCCTGCTCTGCCTCGTAGCCTGATCGAGATTCCTGGTGGTTGTAAGAGGCAGTT